CCTTATTTTTCCGATGTAAGTAAGCATCCCTTGAGACTTGTGAGATTTGATTGATGAATACGGTTCATCCCTTGTTTTGCCGATGTAAGTAAGCATCCCTTAAGACTTGTAAGATTTGATTGATGAATACGGTTCATCCCTTGTTTTGATAGACTTTGATGTGTTCTGCTTTGAAAGAATCTTGGCTAATATCTGTATAGTTTTGGCGTGTTTTGTTTTGAAAGACTTCGGCTATATTCATGCAAAACCTTTATTTTTAGTACCATTCACTGAGTATCCAAGCTCACCCTCTCTATATATATATGTAGGTGATGAGCAGGACGTCGGCGACGCCTAGAATGTGTTTTTGAAAGCTTGTTTTGGATCCATGATTATGTCGGCGTTATTTTGTATTCACGTCGGCACTTCTTGAAAATTATGCTTCTTGGCTTGTACTCACTATATTTTGTATATGTCGGCTCGAGAAGCCTTTTGATCAAGATGTAACACATACTTTGCTTTTGTTGTACTCAAGTTTGTAAAGATGTATGCCATTACATTGGATCTATGCACTGCTCTTATGGACCACTTGTATCTTAGATTATTGCTTCTGCATTTGAGAGCCCCGTTTATTATACTCTGATCTTGTTAGACTTTTGAAAGATGGCCTTCGGTAATCCCGGATTACTGGCCATCACGGCACCAAACTACTAGGGGCGGTTTGGGGTCGTGACATTTCCGAATCTAAACCATTTGTTGTACCCTTGTATGTATCATTTTTTAAAATAAATTAAGTAGGTCTGATAATCGTAACATGTTTAATTTATTAAGTTTATTTCCAACAACAACAAGAATATATATATATATATATATATATTTTTTTTGAATGACAAACGTGCTTTTGAAAATAGACCATTTTTTTTTCTTTTCATAACAAATGTGATAAAATAAACAGCCCATAATTATCAAATGGATCTATAGTTAGCTAAAGTTAGCAACTAAACAAACGTTAGCTTCATGATTAAAATGACTAAAATTGGTAACTTCAAAGATCAAATGACAAAATTAGAAATTTGAAGAACTAAAATAACAATTAGTCCATATTTTAGGAACTAATTTTTTTTTTTTTTATCTTTTAAAAAATGTCATTATTATATCATTCTAATAAAACATTTAATATAAAATTCAAGAACTCAAGACGAACACAAACATGGATGATCATCGAGTGTTCAAACGATGATGTCCAAGTCTTGAGGACGCTCAAAAATGGGGTGTCTACAGACCAATATGATTTTTTTTTTTTTTGATCAGCAAAAGAAAATTTATTAATGAAAATCAAATATACAGAATACAAAGATGAACATCAATAAAGGGAGGCGAGTACCAAAGCATCAGAGCAAACTAGACAATTCCAACTAGGTTGGAACCGGAAAGCAAGCCAATCATCTACTAACACTACACCATGGTTGGAGAGAAACCAACCGAACAAACAAAAAGCAAGGGAAATAATAGCCACTCCCAACACCCAAAACACTAATCTTAACAGTCCATCTACACCTCTTACCAAACAAAACCCCCTTCCAATTTGGACCCTCATAACCTCAAACCAATACCCCATCTCTTGAATTTTGGAAGTACGAATGATGGTTTCAGTAACTTCTTTTTCCTTTCTTTATTCCTTTGACTCGCATTGTTGGGATATGATGCCTTATGAACACCTCCACCCTATGCCTCTTAGAAGATTCCTCAATCTTAACCGAATTGCTACTCACTATCGGGATAAAAGATTTTTCAACAATGTCAACCCCTTCCACAATTCCTTTTGACCCAAGAGAGAAAAGTGAACTTGGCTCATAGGATACTTGCACAATCTTATTTTTTCTACTAGGAACTCCAAGATCTACAACAGTGGATTTGGGCCTCCAAAATAATGAATGAACACGCCCCTATTTATGTTGTGGGCCAAGCACACTCCTTAAATTAAGAGGTTTCATTTGCACCAAGTTTAGCACAGCTCCTCCATAAAAATCATTTCTCTTCACACATTGATTGTTAGTTGATGATGACTCGTTTGATTTGTTTGAATTTGAGGAAAGCACCATTTTTTATCTCCAAACTCTTTTTTTCCCCATTGACAGAGATTTGATCTTTCCCTACACTAAATTTGAGTGCTACAACTTCATGAAAATCAAAGGTTTCACATATCCTAACAGGGTATATGTTTCCTTTATACTCCAAACTTATCACCGTATTCATAGGCTTCATGCTATTTGTTATCAATCTGACCTTGCCATATTCAAGAGAATCTGAATTGTTAACTTCAACAAACTAGATAACTTCCCCCCATAAGCTACTAATGCTTTTGAATGTGTTAGCATTCCATAAGTTAAATGGAACTCCATAACAGCACTGCCAAACACATCTCTCTTGATCGAGATTTACCCCTTTTTCTCCATTCTGTTATCGAAACACACCAATCATAGATCCACCCCTTCAGTTGGTCATACCGCTCCTTCATTTCTTGTGATGAGTTGAAGGTTAGGACTACACTTCTACCTCCCCATCTTCTGAATAATATCTCACCCAAACCTTTCTTGCATAATTCATCTCTAAATGTCGAAAAAGAGAAGAAGTTTTTGAGCTTTACTATCAAACTCACATAGAGCCATTCATTATCTACCTCAAAAGCTTTTGCCACTAAAAAAGATTCCACAAAAATAGTGAACAGTCCATCATTTTGGACACCAATATTGTTACCCTCTTTCCTCCTCAAAACTGGGTTCCAACCTCCACTAACTCTACCCTCTCGGAATCTTTTTTCCACCCCACATGACACTAACTTCTCCAAATCATAAACCAAGAACAAAACCAACCCCAATATTGACACAAAGAAGTCCAAACCCAATACTGTAATTAAAGGATACCAGAGTTACAAATAGAGACACAAGAATTCACAAACAAATCCAAAACACAACTAGAGAGACCGAACCCAATAGTGGAATTAAAGGAAACCAGAGTGCACAAAACAAAGACCCAAGAGTTCACAAGGATTAAACCTCCCCTTGCAAGATCCGTGGTGTTTCATCTTTGAATATTTTGTGGTGCTTCATCTATTGTGATGATGGATGTCTGTTGATGGAATTAAAATGTGATGAAATTGTTAATTGTGTATGAGTCCGGGTAAGAGTCAGTTTTTGAAAACTGTGGTGTCGTGTTGGTACCCGCACGGGGAGTTTAAAAGGTGCCCAAATACCCTGTCTAGACTTATCGTTGGACGAATGTGGGAAAAATATTTTTGGGTGTCCACACAGTCCTGCCATAATAATAGTCGGCGAAAGTGAAAAAACGGATGGTTTTCTTAGGTGCCCACTTCCTGCCGTATAATAGCTGGCAAATGTGAGGGATGATTTTTGAAACTAAAGCAACTTGTGTTGGACTCTTACATGGGACTCATGGTTTGTTTTCCATTGATGTGATTGTTTAATTGTTGTGTTGTAAAGGTGTGAAATGTAATGGTCCATGCTTAATTGTTATGTATTTACATAATCAATGAAGATTACATGTATTCGTAATTCCTTATTATGTTTTGTCTCAAGGATGTCATAAATTTATTCGAATGAGTAAACACTTAGTTAAATGTATTTATACTGGGCATATAACTCACCCCTAATTTGTTTTTTAGGAAATAATGTTATACAACTACAGTGGTGACTTGAAGTAAGCGGTTTTGGGATTGACAGTTGATAATATTTTACCATAAAGACTTAGAGTTTTGTAATAGGACTGCTAGACTTATTTTGTTATTATCTTGCACACCCATCGGATTCTTCTACTGTAATTGACATCCTGTTTGTAAAATTTGAAGTTGGGTACAAGATTTTAAGTACATATAAATAGGGAATCTAGACAGAAGTCCAAACCCAATACTGTAATTAAAGGATACCAGAGTTACAAATAGAGACACAAGAATTCACAAACAAATCCAAAACACAACCAGAGAGACCGAACCCAATAGTGGAATTAAAGGAAACCAGAGTTCACAAAACAAAGACCCAAGAGTTCACAAGGATGAAACCTCCCCTTGCAAGATCCGTGGTGTTTCATCTTTGAATATTTTGTGGTGCTTCATCTATTGTGATGATGGATGTTTGTTGATGGAATTAAAATGTGATGAAATTGTTAATTGTGTATGAGTCCGGGTAAGAGTCAGTTTTTGAAAACTGTGGTGTCGTGTTGGTACCCGCGCGGGGAGTTTAAAAGGTGCTCAAATACCCTGTCTAGACTTATCGCTGGACGAATGTAGGAAAAATGTTTTTTGGTGTCCACACAGTCCTGCCATAATAATAGCCGGCGAAAGTGAAAAAACGGATGGTTTTCTTAGGTGCCCACTTCCTGCCGTATAATAGCTGGCAAATGTGAGGGATGATTTTTGAAACTAAAGCAACTTGTGTTGGACTCTTACATGGAACTTATGGTTTGTTTTCCACTGATGTGATTGTTTAATTGTTGTGTTGTAAAAGCGTGAAATGTAATGGTCCATGCTTAATTGTTATGTATTTACATAATCAATGAAGATTACATGTATTCATAACTCCTTATTATGTTTTGTCTCAAGGATGTCATAAATTTATTCGAATGATTAAACACTTAGTTAAATGTATTTATACTGGGCATATAACTCACCCCTAATTTGTTTTTTAGAAAATAATGTTATACAACTACAGTGGTGACTTGAAGTAAGCGGTTTTGGGATTGACAGTTGATAATATTTTACTGTAAAGACTTAGAGTTTTGTAATAGGGTTGCTAGACTTATTTTGTTATTGTCTTGTACACCCATCAGATTCTTCTATTGTAATTGACATCATGTTTGTAAAATTTGAAGTTGGGTACAAGATTTTAAGTACATATAAATAGGGAATAATCTTGAGGTTATGGGTTCAAGTGTACTGAATCTTTCTCCTCCTAAATACACATTAATGTGTACTTATTGGGCGTTGTTTTTATAAATAGGAAATCTAGACCCAGCCTTTTTAAGGTTTCCCTAACAATCAGGGATTTAGAACATTGGTAAGAAGGCCTACCTAGCAGTTCAAAAGGGGAGAGAGCGTTAGAGAATCTACATGTAAATAGAGAATCTAAGACCCAGCCTTTTTAAGGTTTCCTTAACAATCAGGGTTTTAGAACATTGGTAAGAAGGCCTACCACGCAGTTCAAAAGGGGAGAGAGAGTTAGGTCAAGCAAAGATGAACCACAATCAGCAATCGAGTGATGGCAGGCACGATGATGATACTGTGCTCTCTGATTTCCTTGCGTCCTTGAACTACACCCCCACTGTAAATTATCCTTGAAAAGCTCAATGAAAAACCTATGTATGCTTTGTTTTTAATAATGAATTTACTACTTTGTTTTTTGTTATCAGATTCCAGACCAATTGGTGGAGCATTACTTGGCGCAAAGCGGGTTCCAATGTCCCGATGTTCGATTGTAGGTACTTTTACCCGCTGTTATTAAAATCATACAATTTGTGATTCGAATCATACAATTCAATTCTATTCAGTGGGTAATTGATATGAACAGGTTGTGTGAATTGCAAATAGTTATGAACCGTAGGTGAATCGGTGAATCGTGAATCGATTCAAATTGCTAAAATTGATGTTTAGCTTTCTTTTTTGATTTTTTATTGTTGGAAAGGGTTCACAAAACATTTTCAAGGTCTTTAAGATTACTACATGCCATTTTTTGGCTTTCTTCCTCCCTATTTACTCTCAAATACTCAAACTTTAACCCAAAAAAATGAATTTTCTCTCTCTACAATATTCTTGGCTTACATATTCAATTTTATCTAAATACTTGCATTTACAAAATAAATTTTTTTAAGGCATTAAAAAAGACTTTTGAAAAAAATTGAAAATTGAAAATTTTAATTTTTTGACCTTGTAAAAAGTTTAAAATAATGTTGTTGAGTTATTGTTGCTTGAAATTTAAAAGTTTGTCTTTGTTTGCTATCTTTATTGATAAGAAATAGTATTAAAAGGGAAAATGTGAAGTGGTAAACATGGGAACCCATGTTAACTTCTTGCCCAAACCACATGATCATCATTTAAAACAATATTTTCATTGATTTAAGTCTAAATATTTCATATTTATTAGATATTTAAGATCTAAGTGTGTAGATATATTTTTTATGTAATTTAAAAAAGGTGACTGAATCTTTACGATTCACAATTCAATTCAATTCGTGATTCGGTACAATACCATTTCAATTCACTATTCGAATCCCTATTTAACAACTATGCTTCTACCCCTCCTAAAATGTCATCCTCATATTCGTCTCTCAATTTGTTTGTCCTCTTTGGTTGCCAACAAAATTGAAGTGAACAATCAGATTAAAAATGAGTAAACCTAACTCGATAAAGGTAAATAGTTGTGTTAAGGTCAGTTGACTGGATGTTTCTGTGTGGGGTTTGTGTTGATGAAAAAATTGATGATTCAAAGCTAGTAATTTTTCTAATTTCCTCAGTTTTCTCACAAAGGAAACCACAGTGAAGTACGACAATGTCATTAGGTCATGTTTGATTCAGAATACTAATAGTGAGGTATTAATAATCCTATAAAATTAGTGTGGTATTAACTATCCCACCCCTACCCCATTACTAATTATCCTACAAATTTGTTGGATTAATTATCCATTGGATTAATAGTCCTAAACCAAATGTCAAAACAAACATAGGATGGTTGGGCCCACGGATTAATAATCCTAATCCCATACTTTAATCCTTCCAATCAAACATGCTCTTAGAGTGTTATCCAAAAGCTGAACAGTAGGAAGGCTAGGAGGAGTATGAGGGATTTTGATTCTTTGTAAGGGAGTATGATTTGATTGACCTGCCTTGTTGAATGCTTAATTTACTTGGTCTAATTTTCAGGAGGTGCTTTGAGAATATGTGGTTGGATCACCCTTTCATTCAAAAAGGATTTTAGAGAGTTGTGGGCAAATTGTAGGATTCAAGAGTGGAAGGGTTTTAAGTTCATGAATAAATTGAAAATGGTCAAATGAAAGTTAAAAGAATGGAATAAATAGGTTTTTGGTTACTTAAAGGCCAAGAAAAGTGAGATTGAAAAAAGGTTCGAGTTTCTTGATTGTCTTGAATCTACGGGGAATTTGATGAGGCACTTAAAAAGGAAAGCTCAAATTTGAAAAAGTAATCTTTAGAGAATCAGTTCATCAGAGCCATGTACTCGTGATTGTTTTCAATGGAAGGGAGTCCTAGACCGGGGATTGAGGGTCTTGATTGGTGCCCAAATTATGTATTCTTATTCAAGAAGTTGATTTATGTGCTTCCTTTCTAGTTGTTACATCATATTTGGTCTCTGATGTGAAAAAACTCTGCATATTTTGTATTTCATTTTTCTGCACATTTGTATGGATATATATATATATATATATATCAAATCATTTATCTCCTTTATTTTTTGCAGAATCAGGCTGGTAGCTGTTGCTACGCAGAAGTTTATTGCAGAGGTTGCAACTGATGCCCTTCAGTATGTTTCTAACTTCTGATAATTTTTTCATTACTGAAGTCTTTCCATTTGAGATTCACCAATAGTTTTATTTACAGGTTCATCGTATACATTTTCATATTTGCATTCTAATTTTCATTATTTAGATACTGGTGGTGCGGTGATGTTATACATTTATATGTTTATTGTAAGTTACCCATCTGCATCTTAATATAGGCAATGCAAGGCAAGGCAGGCAGCTGTAGTCAAGGACAAGAGGGATAAGCAGCAAAAGGTGCTCACATTTTACTTACGTTTTTCTACATTTCATTTTTTTATTTTTGTATATTTCCAGCCCTTTTTTTTTTTTCGTTTTAGTTTAATCCGATCTCTCTCTCTCTCTAATAGGATAAGCGTTTAATCTTGACAATGGAGGACCTCTCCAAGGCTCTGCGTGAGGTAAGCACTTTAGTGCTTCAAGCAGTATTGCTATCAAGAGTCAAATTTATGCCAGCCAACCTCAAAATGACAATATCATGTCTCCTAATAGTTTGAGATGCAAAATTTCTAACCTTCAAATTTCGATAGTCATAGAACTTTGGCAATACTGGACATCAAAGTTCTTCCTTTTCGATTTGAATCTTGTAAAACATGACATTTCAATAGATGGATATATGTGACAAGCATGTTTTGGAAAATGTTCTAAGACGGTGATTCTTTGATAACCGATATATCCATGTTATTAATTTTTTGATATGTAAAGTAATCTAACCACTGAAAAGGCCCAATAAGGGTGTGACTTATCTACACAGTCAGCTTGCCTCAACCATTATGAGAATACCTTAAATGCCAATATTTGAATAGATTAACTACATAATGGCACATAAGCCATGGAAATTGAGTTGTGTTAGAAGAGCAGAAGCATATTTTTACGCTCTATTTATTTGGTTCTTTATTTATTTTGTGTAGATAAGTAAAAATAAATGCTGAGCAAGCAATTGGGTTTGTTAGCTGAGAAACCTGACTTTTGCTAGTACCTTCTTCAATTAAATGCTAACAGATTTCTTATTTGTATTAGAGTATCTGTAATTGGCATATTGTCCTGGTTCTCGGTGATGGCCTCTGGAACTCTCTCATTCTTTTCAGAGTACAACCATTTTACGCTGATTTTAGGTTTCTCGTTTTAATTGAGCAGTATGGCGTAAATGTGAAGCATCAAGAGTATCAAGAGATGAATGAGCTCGGTGCCTTGTATCAGCAAAAACAAATTCTTCATGGTGGCTTGCATTTTGATTTCAACTTTTAACTAATTTGCAAGGCTATGAAAATACACCATTATTTTTACATATTATGTAATCAATCTGTAGATGATTTCATTTCATGGTCTTGTTGCTACACAATTAGGTAGATGCAGTTATCCTGTTTTCTTAGTATCTCTCTCCCCTCGGAAAAAGAAAAAATGGAAAAAGAAAGAAAGAAATGGAAACAAATACTTTATTTGTATTTGTATTTTATTTTTTATTAATGAGAGGATATTATGCTGGATTTTGAAAGCATTTCAAACTGGCAAGGTCTCTTTCTTAAATAAATGTAGGAATTTGTTGAACAATTGCAGGCAGTTTCGGTTGTTAGTCGCAATATTGCATTGTGAAACACCATGGAAAATGTTATGTCTCATTTTCTTATTACTAGATACACAAACATTGATCTCACATGTGTTCATTAAAATAGTTCCCACTATTTTTGTGCCTAGTGGTAAAAAAAAAAATTCTGGTGATTGTGAGATTCGTTCATGAGAGGGCTCTTTCATTATTATTTTTAAATGGGAAAGTTGAATGGGTCTACAGGTGTTTTCCCGGTGTTAGTTTTTTGAGTCCAAAACAAGAAGTTTTTTTTTTTCGGTTTTTTTGCTTAAATAGTTAAAAATGAGATTTTTAATTGAAACCAAATAGATCATTCCCCAAAGTGATGACCCACGTCAGAATCCAACGGTATTGTGATTTTAAAGTTTGCCATGACGTATGACTTGTAATTGCAAAGGCATGTCTCCACATATGGGAATAACCATTTGTTTTTATATATAAATAAAATAGCTAAAACCTTAGCTAAGAAAGCCATTATGGAGGCTAAGGCAGCAATTATGAATGATGGGGGAAAAAAAATATAGATAAACTTGCTAAGAGAAGGGAAAAAAAAGAAGGTAAAAACCTAATTACATCAAGTATACTAGGGAAAATATGAAACTGTGCTTTTGTTATTTTGAAAAGCTATTTAATGAAAACCACTCAAGAAACATAAGTTTAGTTGAACTTGATACTGTAGTAGTAATATGAATTATAAATTATTTGGCAACATTAGAGTAGTGGGGATAAAAAGAGGCTATGAGGAGGATGAAAGTGGCAAAAACTGTAGACCAAATGCAATTCCCATTGAAATTTGAAAGTGTTTCGAGAGATGATGGGACAATTTGGTTGACTAATTTGTTTAGAAAGATGCATTATAAGAAATGCTTGATGAGTTGAAGAAAAAGTCCATTAGTTCCAACATACAAGAACAATGGTAATATTCAAAGAGAGATTAAGACACAACGAGATAAGAAAATACACGGTTATCTTAAACTTTTAACTGACGATATTACAGTGAATAAAGCCAATTGGAGGTAATTTATCCATGTAACCAACGCCAAGTAAATAGGACTATGGCTTGTTGAGTTGAGAATCATGATGGAATGATTCAATTTCAAGAATCCAAATGCATCCAACAGTTTCAAATTCTTCTGATGATCCTCTAGCTTTGAACTAAACTCATTTACATTGATCTAAGTCTCAAAATTCCGAAAACCACGGTCATAAAGCCAGCATTAGCATGGACACTACATTTATCACTAGCATGGAACATTAACAGTAATTACCTTTATTGAAAACTAACCACATTCTTGGACTATATCACAAAGCTGGTCAAGTGTGTCTGCAAGATTCCCAAGGCATGTGACAAGTCTGTCACTTTGACGCCTAGTGAAATCAGTCTGCGAATCCTTGACGTTTTTTAGATCAGCCAAGAGACGGTCTGAACTCTCACCCAGGTTTCCTTTAAGTATGTCAGTGATCAATTTGGCATTCTCATATAGTTTTGCAGCCATCATATGCTCCTTCTCTTCCATGTTGTTCTTAAGCAATATCTTCTCATTTTTGCTGTGTTTCAAAGCCTTTACCCTTTTTTCTACTCTGCCTTGCTCTGGCATTATCTTTTTATTTATCTTACGTTTCTGAGGCTTCACCCTTTCCTCTGTGCTGTGTTTCTGAGGCATCACTCCGCACCTTTGCTTCTTCAAATCTATGGTACCAAAAGTACAAAAACACAGATGTAAGCACCTCATGTTTTGAGATGTGGCTTGCACTGGTGCACTTCATACAGTCTCAAGCACAAAGTCACGCAAAAAAGCATATTGTAGAGAACTTACTATTAAAATAAATAAGTAGTATCTAGAGAAACTTACAGTTGGGAATTTATTGATGGAACCAAGGGACTACGTGTGAAATTTAAGCGATTTTTAACTTCTTAGTGAATCCAAAACCAAGTTTTGGAGTTGGGATTAACCAATTCATGGCTGCTCCATGAAAGCCCGATTTACGGACTGCCAATGAATAAAAGACACATCAACTAACTTTAGTCACATCTTAAATACTTCACTGCTACATGAGATTCTACATACACCATACCACATGTGATTACCTCCCTCCCCCTTACCCTCACGCCTCTACCTCCTCTCCCTTTGCCGCCTCCATCAGCAACAATGCCCATTGCCAACCATTCTACCCGCAACCCACACCATCATCTATTGCTACCTACGCCTCCAGCCCACCCCTGCCACCAACCAACACCACCTCTCCCCCCCATCTACTCTAACAACGACTGCCTTCTCCCTTCTCCCTTTCCACTCCCACAGTCCCCACCATCAACCAGCGCCAACCACCCTATTGCTCTTGGTCTATTTTCTCTTTGTTCTTGGTTGGATCGTGGAGATTGAGGGTACTGCTGGTGGCTCTACTGGATTAATTGTGCCCATTATGGCGGTAAATTAGTTACCAATACCATTTATTTTTGTGATATAATCTAATAATGATTTGCCTTAATCATTTTGCTTGCCGAACTTTATCTTCCCATGATGGACATCCAGCAGCGAAAGAAAATGAAGAAGAGGAGTGAGTGGACCACAGCGAAGGAAAAGGGAAGTTGTTGTCTAATTCTCAGGTCATATGAATAATATACCAAAATGCTGATATGGCATAAGATAATTGGTTGCAGTAATACATACACTTTATGGATGGGATGTAAAGAAGTTAATCCCATGCAGTCCCTCATCGAAGTAGGATGGCATGCACAAGTTTTACGATGTAGAGTTGTGTTTGGAGAAACAAACAGCTAGACTGAGATACCATTAATGAAAGTGAAGTCAACATAAATTGCATACGCTATCATAAAAGCGGTATTTGACAACAAAATCCCAATTCTTGGTGGAAAACCACGTCCTATTCCTATTGACGAGCTCCAATATAAATTTTTCTTCGGGATTCAATAGGGTGCTGCTATTCACATTCAGCCCTGGTTTGGCAAACTTTTTGGGGCTAAATAATCACAAAAAGATAAAATTGACTATAAAAGCCAATAAGACAAAATACTACTATTTACTCATAATCATTATACTTTTTTTCTCACAAAAGTTAAAAAAGCTCCAAAACAAAAACAAAAGGAGGCTAAAAAAGCCAATGCCAAAGGAACCTCATTTACCAACCTGCTGAAAAAGCCCTTCCCCTTAGTTCATAAGTTGTTCATTGGCTAGTCGCACCACATCTTTTTAGCACCCGATTTGTAATGAATGTTCTTCTTCTAACACTATAAATTGATAAAAATTCAAAAGCTAAGCCAAACGTCCATCTTCTCTTGAAAATCCTTATTAGAAAGTCCTTGATATAAGTACTTTCAACTGCAAGAAACTTAGCCAAACACCAAACATACCCAAATTTTGCAACAACAAACACCACTAAAATCTGACTGAAATTTTAACCTATAATGGTCATCCAATGCCAAATCAAATACTATTTCAGTTCAACAATGCTAGTGTACAATTGAAATTACTCAGATTTCAATCCAATAGAAGATAATCTAAACTACCCATTTTTTGAAGATTAAAAGGGCATGCAATGCTAGCAATCAAATAAACAAGCAAACACCTAAATCACAGTTGAATGATATGAGAAAAAGCATACCAGGCTCGGCCACTCCATCGGCGACAGCTTCAGGATCAACATCCGGGTCAGTATCCGACCCATCACCCACCTTCAAATGATCATCAATGGCTTTAAACACCTCGAAATCAAAATCCTCAGGAAACCCATATTCGCATCTTCGCTCATAATCAATCGACCAGTACGATTCGACCCGGGACTCGGACGATTCCCAGAGCTTGATCTTCTTGTAATCGGATAGAAGGGAGTCCCATGTATGGCGACATTGGTTGAGGGTACGGAAGACTTCCAAGGAGTTGAATTCTCAACGATGATCTTCCATTTTTGGAAAGAGGAGAGCGTGTTGCGACAGTCGCGTTCGACGGCGGCGATCTCGGTGATGAGGGTGAGGGATTCTTGGGAGGATCAGTCGGGAGCTACCTGGGAGCGAGTGCGCCGAGAGGCTGAAGCTTGAGAATGGCGACCACCGTGGTCTTCTTGCTCATCCATGGACATGGTCAGCTCACCCCCACTCACAGCTCCCTCAGATTGTCTTCATCTTTTGTGTATTTTTAAGTTAAAGCATCTCTCACCCACCCCCCAAATATATATTTCTATTTATTTATTATTATTATTATTATTATTATATTTTTTTTTTGAATAATTGAGAGACAAACAAAAGGAACTAGGTACTAAATTCCTTCTGAAAGAGGTGAATAGTATCCGCAATTAGCATATTACAGATTTCTGCTGGTGGTTCATTAACAATTAGCAAATCAGATGGTTGATTTTCGCCTAGCTTTGCCAAAGCATCGGTGCATATGTTGGCTTCCTTTTGGATGTGTTGAATTGAGCAGTGATAGTCTCTCATGATAATACGTGCATCCTCTACAATGTCCCGAAAAGGACATCGCTCTCCCAGTTCTTCGCTTAACAATTGCACCACTTGCTCTGCATCTGTTTCAATGACCACTTGATTCAGTCCACGTTGGAGAATGATTGTGAGCCCTTTGTAAACAACCCAAAGTTCCGCTTCAAGGTTTGTGCTGTAGGACAATCTTCACTGTATTCCATATAAATTAAGTTTGTCTACTTAACAACAAACAAAAGAAATAAAGGAAAAGAAGGAGAATATTTGATTACAAAAATCAAACTAGAAATAAAATTAAATAAATAATATATAGATTTTATTTTGTTACAAAAACAAAATTAAAATCTGATATAAATAAATAAAACAGAAAATAAATTAATAACTTACTTGATTAATTTCTGGAACAATATTATGATCAAGTCTAGTGTTTGACACTGCGTCCTTAAGACAAATTCGTCCT